ATGCAAAGAGGCTGCTCTGTTAAACAGCTTCTTGTTCTTGTTCTACCTTGTTTCCACTGCAGAAATTAAGCAATACTTTAGTTATGTCACTGAATCGATACACGGTGACAATTCCTAAAGGAAGACTTGCATGCCCTAAACCCAATTAGATGTGGCATTAGAAGCTGGATGACAAATGTTTTTCCTGCCATACAAATAAAATGACAACAGGATTTCAATTTTTTTTTTTTTTTCCATTTCAGGGCAAACAGAGAGACATTTCAAAGTTTAATTTCAAAGTATCCAGAGCAAGAGAGCGCAGAGTTTGGCAAATGGGTCAGTTGTGAGGGCACTCACTGGGGATATGGAGCACTCAGGTCTTCCTTGTTCCTGCCCTGGCATAATCCCACAGTCCTGCTGCGTGTCCTGCTACCAAAGGGCAGGATCAGTCTCTGCTTCTCAGTCAGAAGGATTTGCTCCATTTTGCAGTACACAATTATAAGTTGCTGGGCGAGAAGGACTGACTCCATCTTTCTGTTGCTGTGGCACTTGATTGAGCTGTTAGATACTCTAGGCTAAGTCCATGCTCTAGTAAATATGCAATTATTAAACAGCTTCAATAGAAGAGACCTGAGAGAGAGCTATTCAGAATAGCCAGCCACTTGGCAAGTAAGACACTCATACGGCACATGGGACATCATGATTCACGCATATAGCTTGAGCTGGGATGCTTTGAAATTTGATTTCCTATGCCCCACGTAAATGCTCTAATTCATGGACTATTCCACTGAGGAGAGAATCACCCAACCTTCTTCCCAACTGGAGATACCATCCCAGACCTGAGAAATGTTTTATAAAATTAATTAGATGAAGAGATTAAAGCTTCTTTAAAACGGTTACATGTCGATGAAAATGGAGGTCTAGCCTTCCTGCTTTCACCTCCCCGAGTTACATTTCTCACAGGACACTGAAATTCAAACCAAGCCGCAAGTGGGGCATTGTGAGAATCAGCCACAATGCAGGTATTGCCTGTCTTGTTTTTTTCTTGGAGAGAAGAGAGTAAGAATCAGATGTGTAGATGGCCTCAGAGGATGTGAGAACAACCTCACAATTTGTTCTGCTGTGTGTTTCAAGCGTGTCTGTATTTGAACAATTTGTTGTAATAGGAAAGGAGCTGGTAGTGTGCAAGCGTGTTCAAAAAGCATGTCTGGATGTAAAAAGCAGGAGCTGGAGTTGATGAATGTAATATGAAATTTAAGTGGTGATTACCTGAGTTTTAGTAATTGCATTGATAGGATAAACACCTGCTGAGCAGTCCAGCTGGCAACCGAGCAGAGCTTTCTGTGTTGCTGTATATATATAGTGAACTTGTGTGTTCCTTTAATACCCATTTAACCTGGCAGCTCTCCCTACCCTGTAGACTTAATTCTCTTTTATTGACTACGTATGCTTAGCAAAAACATCTCTTTAGCTATCTCCTTACACCTTTCTGCCAGTTATACCTGAAGGAGTACAAAAGATCTGCATACTGATTCACATTAAAAGTCCATTCAGCACTGTCCCCATCAGTAAGCTATAGGCATTACCTGGAGGTGAAAACAGGAAGAGGCACTGCAGTGATTTTGTCTGGCGAATTCCCTCCCAGCCTCCAGCGACCAGCTACTTAGGGATATTTTGATTAGAAAGGTGTCTCCACTAAACGATACTTAGTAATATAAGGTTGTTTGGAATAGAAAGGTACCTCCAGTAAATGGTACTTAGTAAGGAGCAGCATTTAATGCTCTCTGTTGGAAGGAACCCTGCTAAATCGAGGAAGGTGGTGTCACTTTTAATGCCTCTGGCACCTTCAGTAAGGATGTGGGATAATCCTGACTTTGTAATGTAGATCCTTTCCTCAGAGAGCTTCATAGGTGCAGTCATTCCATAACCACCAGCAAATTGCTACCAATTCCAACCTTTTGCTTGCTTTATAAATATCAACAGTCCCGATGAAATCAATGGGCTTACTGATGTGCATAGCATAAACAGGGTTTTGTCCTTCACAGTAACAACATTTGGCCATCTCCAAAATACGGTACATTCAAAGAGCTTACTTAAAGATTATAGAAACACAGAATCGCAGTATGATTTAGGTTGGGAGGGACATCTGAAGGCCATCTAGTCCAAGCCCACTTAAAGAAGGGCCAGCTTCAAAGTTAGTTCAGGCTGCTCTCAGTCTTGTCAGGCTGAAATTTGAATAGCCTCAATGATGGAGATTTCACAGCTTCTCCGGGCGCCTGTTTCAGTGGTTGACCCCTCTCACTGTGTACATTGCAGCTTCACAGAGTCACAGAATGGTTGAGGTTGGAAGGGACCTCGGGTGATCATCTAGTCCAACCCCCCTGCTCAAGCAGCGTCACCTAGAGCATGTTGCCCAGGACCATGTCCGGACGGCTATGGAACATCTCCATGGATGGAGACTCCACAGCCTCTCTGGGAGACCTGTTCCAATGCTCTAGGTGACCCTCACAGGAAAGAAGTTTTTCCTCAGGTTCAGACAGAGCTGCCTGTGTTTCAGTTTACACCTGTTGTCTCTCGTCCTATCGCTGGGCACCAGAGAGAAGAGTCTGGTCCATCTTCTTGACACCCTACCTTCAGGTACTTATACACATTGATCAGATCCCTCCTCAGTCTTCTCTTCTCCAGACTGAACAGGCCCAGCTCTCTTAGCCTTTTCTCTTACATAAGAGATGCTCTAGTCCCTTAATTGCCTTAGTGGCCACTCGCTGGACTCTCTCCAGTAGTGCTATGTCTCTCTTCTACTGGGGAGCCCAGAACTGGACACAGCACTCCAGATGTGGCCTCACCAGGGCTGAGCAGAGGGGGAGGATCACCTTCCTCAATGTGCTGGCAACACTCTGCCTAATGCCCCCCAGGATACCCTTGGCCCCAAGGGCACATTGCTGGCTCATGCTTAACTTGTTGTCCACCAGCACTCCCAGGTCCTTCTCGGCAGAGCTGCTTTCCAGTAGGTCAACCCCCAGCCTATATTGGTGCAGGGAGTTATTCCTGCCTAGGTGCAGGACCCTGCACTTGCCTTTGTTGAACTTAAATGCTCCTCGCTGCCCATCTCTCCAGCCTGTCCAGGTCCCTCTGAATGGCAGCACAGTCTTCTGGTGTGTCAGCCTCTCCCCCCAGTTTAGTATCATCAGCAAACTTGCTGAGGGTGCACTCTGTGCCTTCCTCCTGGTCATTGATGAATAAGTTGAACAGGCTTGGACCCAGTATTGACGCTCTGGGGGACACTGCTAGCTACAGGCCTCCAACTAGACTCTGTGCCGCTGACCACAACCCTCTGAGCCCTGCCATCCAGCCAGTTCTCAATCCACCTCACCGGCCACTCATCTAGCCCCCACTTCCTGAGTTGACCTATGAGGATGTGATGGGAGACAGTGTCCAAAGCCTTGCTGAAGTCCAGGGAGACAACATCCACTGCTCTCCCCTCATCTACTTTGTCCTCCCTCATCCAGCTTGTCCTGTCACTATGCACCTCTACGAAGAGTTTGCCTCCACCTTCTCTACACCCTCCCATTAGGTAGCTGAAGACAGCAATAAGATTTCCCCCTTAGCTTTTTCTTAAGATTGAAAAGCCCAGTTCTCTCAGCTTCTTTTTTTATGCCACGTGCTCCAGTCCCCTAATCATCTTTGTCAACGTCTTGTACTGGGGTGCTATGTAGGTATTTGCTAACATTTTCTATTTCCAATTAGTACTCGACCGAGCCATTCAACTCCAGGATCTGCTGATATAAATTTCCAGAAATCCAATAAGTAAGTTAATGAAAATATGAATAAATTTTAATTATATCCTAATCGAGTTTTGCTTCTTCAGATTTATTCCTATTTCTTTAAAAGTATTTTGTTGTGCTTGTTCCTAAAGCAAAAGAACTAATATCTTCCTAGAAGCACATATTCCATAGTCTGTGGCTAATTCTGTTAATTCTGGGCTTCACATGACTCTCCAGGAAGGGCCCACACAGCAAAAAACCCTCAGTCCTAGCAATTGCTAAGTGTTTTGATCAATTGAATGATAATCAAGGATGTCTGGCACCTTACAGACCAGGAATTTTAAATCAGTCAGCTTTATGAAAGCATGCAAAACCCATTTGTCCTTTGAGTTGTAACTGAAAAGACTACCCATTCAAAAATTGTAAGTACTCATGTGTATAAATGATAAAATAATGATCTCACCCTAAAAAGATGACAGTACGCTTCCGAAATTATGTTTCGGTCTCAAAGGCTCCATCTTTTCTAGTAAATTCAGTGGACCAGGTCCTGCTCTCTGGCGCTGAGGACAAACACCACAGAATCTATATGGGTGAACAAACAGCAGGAGTCTATATGGGTGAATTCTCTTCCCACCAGACCAGGCAGGCCTTGTTCCTGAGTTTTAGTGAGCACCGCTCTGGGCCCATACCATGCCCAGGGAATGCCTGCAAGGCTGCTAGCTGGCAAGGGCCAAAGCAGTGCCAAGGAATGGGCTAAATCAGGGGGAGATATGCAGCAGAACCTGTGCCCTGGCTCTGTTTAGTTTACTAGTAGACATAGCCAAAAAGCGACAGTATGGGGCCAACTCCCCCCACTGACAAAAACTCCTACACCTTTTTTTGTGTATGCTCCCTTGTGTTTCGCTTGGTAGCATGGAGAAGCAAGCAGCAGTACTATCCAACATCTCCTTTAATTAGTCCATGCTAGTAGCTACTTTGTTGTTTGTTATTAAGAAGTTCAGACGGATTTAAAAGAAACTCTAGAAAGCTGCCATTTGGTTTTACCCTCCATAGTACCAGGAGTGCAGGATGCATCTGCTACTCCCCAGCATATCTGCTTCATTTGTATGTTCTGCAACTCTCTGAAAGTGCATTACACCAGCAAATGTCCTCATCACCTTTTCTTAATATTTATGCACTTCCTCCCTTTCTCCCACCCGGAGCTGACCTATGTTGCAGACTGAGCGTTGTGGGAGCCACTGCCGGCTCCTCGCAGTCATGCGCTCACTCCAGGTGACATCCGAAAGCTCTTCAGACACAGTAGCACGGGACCATCAGGAGAAGCTGGATGCCAGTGCAGGTACAGCCTTGCGGGAACGCCGCTGCAAGGCTTGCAGGCTGGACCAGGCTTGCATCCTTGCACAGCGCTGGTTCATGTGTAAAGCTGCTCAGTGGGTTTATATTTTGCCTTCCACTGCGAGGCCCATGATCCTACTTCTAACCACAAGTAGCATGATTAAAGAAGCAGGCAAAATGCTCAAGCAGGAATTAATAACAATAGCCAAAAGATAGACTATTTTTAACAAAAGGCCGGCTAGCTGCTAACAAGTTAGGAAATGTAAAAGTGGAAGTTCTCAGAGAAAAAAACCCCCCGCCACATCGCAGACACGCACAGCCTAACACGGAGACTACCGTTTGCCAGATACATACTCTAGCACAGGGGCGCCTCGAAATTTTCACGGCAGCTCGCAAATACGTTTTTAGAAGCAGCCGGGGGCAATTTTCCGTTGACGTTAACTTTTCGCCTTTGCTGCAGAACCGGCCACGACGGCGAACAGCAAGCCGGGGCCGGTAAGCCGGCCCAGACAAAGCCAGAGCGCTGCCTTCCGCAACGGCGCTCGCCGCCTCCAGCGCGGCC